CATTCTCTTGAAAATAAGATGCTTGTTTGAGTTGTATCCATATTCACGTGTCTTCACATGTAAAGCCTTTGAACAAAAAATAATACTTCAGGAAATGACATGTTTAAGACAGGAAAGATCCCAACAAGTTGATATAATATACCTTATCTAACTATAATATTACTAGACTCTTGTAATCGATTGACTGAGATCTTTAAGACAAAAATCTGATACTAAGAAGTCAGAATCAACAACATTGCATTGAATATTCACTATTGTTTTATTACTCTTGCTCCAAGTCAACATTGTAATAATTGGTAAATTGTATTACTCCTAATAAATATTTTAAAATATAAATAATGGGTTTAGGTTTGTTTTATTGATATATATTCTATTATTATTCAATCAATAGAGATTCATTTTAAAAGTGGGTTTAAAAGGGATTTCCCCCTTTTATCAAAGCATGTTTTTTCACATTTCTGTGGCTTAGCTGCAGGGCTGAGTTGTTCAGTCAGCAAGATTAGCATTAAAACCTGCATTAAATCATGAGTGAAGATTGTTTTGGTATCAAGTCAGTGGTGGATATAACAGAGGTCTACCCTGACCAACTTAGCTGGCACACAACTGTTTCACTCTTACTGTATGTCAGATTTTTGTAAATGTTTGATTTACAGAAGTCAAAACACCATGTCTGGACATATGAAGTATGCTGCAGATACAATATTTGATGCTTTCAAAAATATCCTTCCGTTTAATGCCTCGATGATTTGGATTTATAGAGAAAAAAGAAATATTTTTCAATTAATTTTCATTGTTTTTTTTTTGTTCCCTCGCAAAATATTCAATAAATTATCTATCTTGTGGTCCTTCTACAAATGACCCTCAACTGTGAGACAAATGAATAAGTATAATTGAATAATTATCTAATGTGCTAAGTGGCAGTATTGAGCCCTTAGAAAGTGATAGAAAATGACAAAAACCTTCAATAAATAACACAGCAAAACGAAAGGTGAAGGCCACTGTTTTGATCTGCTGTTTTGAAGTAGTGGACCACTGCCACACTTATAGCATAGCCAATCAGAATGGAGGATTTTTAAAATGTTCAACATATGTAGAGTCAGCACAACAATAAGCCTGTAAAAACTAATAATTAATATTAAACCAAAATAGGAAAAACCAGCACTAATTATTATTTGTGGCATCTCAGGGATTTGTTATTTGCACTTAGGGTTTTTAAATACAAATATCAAATAAAGTTAAAGGTTCATATTTGAACCAATATTGATATGAATGTGGCCCAGGGGGTTGGACTCCGGGAAAAAAGTACCGGGATGCTCGTCATATCTCTTAGGGGTAAAAATTCACGATTTGGTATCTTTTAGGGTGTTAAATGTGAATTTTTGAAAATCAGCATTTTCTGGTATCTCTTAGGGTGTCGGAAAAGGAGAGAAGCGCGCATCGATATGACTTATCCTAGGCACTTTTAATTTAATATTATTTGCTGTGGTATCTCTTAGGGGTTAAAAATCATTCAGCCATGCCCTTTTTTAAAGACTTCCTGTATCTTTTAGGGGTCTTTTGGAAAATTTCCAACGAGCATCCCTGGTACTTTTTTTCTGGTGGGGCCCCCCCCCCCCCCCCAGGGAATAAGGAAAGAGAGTTATTGGCATATCAAGTATAACAGCTTGTCATCACCCCAAAAGGACCCAAAACATTCCCTGCAATACACCGTACCCAAACTCTATAATGGGTATTCACCTCCAAACCATCAGTGAACAAATATTCTGTGAAAGGTAGCAAATAAGGCATATAATCATCATTTTCTGCCTTTTGAATCCAAACTTCATACTTGATATTTGTATCAAAATATTTCACATTTATTGGCTTTTTCCAGGACACAAAAAGTGATGGTTTATTTGAACCATTAGTTCCAGAAGACCCAGTACATGTGACATTTATAACCTTCGAAGGGTGTAATCTTTGGTTATGTTTACTACTAAAACCTTTTGCAATAAGTTCTCCACGTGTATGGAAAGCATCACCCATAACTTCAAGAAAAGAATCTTTGTCAACAAGGGTATCCTGATAAATTCTGTAAAGCCAGAATGAATTACTGCAACAAAGATGAGGAGGAACCTCAGTCGTACTTGTTATTAACTCTTGTTCCTCCTTACTCAGATGCATGATTCCACCAATTTCAGATGGATCATATGGATGGGTAACTGAATTCTCAGGGATAGTATTCCTCCATGATGTGTAGATAAGATTCATTCCTGGTAGTGTGGCAAGTGTTTTGTATGGTTGGTAGTTCTCAGGATTAATTGCATATGGGAACATTTCGACGATCACACCACCTAGCGGTAAAAACATTGACATTACAAGTGCTGATCCATGCATCCCAACCAAAGCTGATGCCTTGGAAATAATTCGTATAAGTTGCTTTAAAGAGTGTGTCTCCATACTCACTTGAACAACTCTCTTGTTGAATTTTTTTGCCATCGCTATGGTTATATCTGCTTCATTTATTATGAGGCGATTATGTTGCCTTAAGAAAAACACAATATAGTCAACATCTGTATTATCAGTTGGTTCATATATCCCCATTCTCTCTTTGATAAAACTTGTGAATTCTCTCATTTGTCCGCCAGTTATTTGAATCCTTGGTAAAGGGCCTTGGGGAATTTTAAAGCCATATTGATACCATGTAGTGAATTTTGAAATCCCAACAATAGCAAGTTGAAAACACTTTAATCTATTATTCTTAATAATATCTTGTTTTAGTAAAGGCTTGGAATGACTAAAAAGTTTATAAAGCTCAAAATATGGCCCTTGTTCCCATCCTTCCATGAATACAACTCTAGAATTGAGATCAAGAGGTTCAATTGTTTTTCCATTTGTGTACTGCTTCATAGTGTGAAACAATGGAAGTAAATCATCGTGGAAAACATGCATTATATTCTCACTATTAAAACGATGAAAAATAAAGCTAACGCCATCGTATACAGTAATATTGGTGAACGAATTTAGTAGTGAAGATGTTGGAAAGTCAATGAAGTTGAAGTATTGAGTATTATGGTCGTCAATGGATGACATATCCAGCAAAGCAGGACTAAACCGGTCTTGAGGAATGCCATCTAGCACAGTCTTATCACCATGAAAGAATATATATTCTTTGTAAATAGGATGATAGCAGAGATTTCTGAATTTACAGATACGATCAGTCTTGTTGTAACCTGTACACCAGACACTTGAACCACCCATCAAACCATCAATGAACGACGACACTTCCTTAACCTTCAAGACCTTGGAGTTTGGATTTTCCCTGTATAGACGTCCTTTTGTTAGTTTAGTTTCTTGAACGAAATTGTAAACTAACTGCATGATGAAAAATACGCTAATATGTAGCACGATTGGTAGAAATAAACTAAAATTCATAGTGACTTGACTTCAGTTAACTTTATAGCAGATTAGATTGTGGTGTGGGATTCCTGTGGTGTTTTTCTAACACAGGAAGTCCATTACGTCGATTACGTTAAATATGTTTCAATATAAAAAAGAGTGATTCTTAAAAAATAAAAAGCAACATGCAAGAGAAAAACACACTAGCCGTCATAATAATGACCGTTAAAAACTGAAATCGATGCTGGCTAATTGCCAGAGAACTGCCAGAGTACATTTCTAGGCTTTGGGGTTCCTGTGCCTTTGTTGAGGCATTCATAAATACCAACAGGCAACCCAGAATACTAGTATAAAAATGCTTCGTAATGCAAAATTATCAATTAAAGTTTTATGTAAGTATATGGGGTTTACAATTCTGGGAAAATGAGACAAAGGTTTCAAATCTGAGTTGAAACTTTATCTCACAGACAACATACCGGAAATGACTACTGGGTAGTTAGCCGTACGTGATTAATAATTACTGGGTAGCCTGTTGGGATACGGGAAAGTCCCTATTTCTGAAAAAAATGTATGAGGGGAAATTTCCCTTGTGACTAACTCATCGTTTTTTTGCCACTTTCGTCTTCCTCAAACTGATCAGAACGAAGAAAGACCTACCATCGCGAGCCAAGGTAAATTAGTTTTTTAGATGAAAACATTAGAATGGCGTAGTCGTTTAATTTAACTCAACTTGTTTATCTTACCAAAATCGTTCTCTCTTGCGTTCATGCAACTTTATTTCGTAGAATTCAAACCCATATTTGGCATATTTGATGATTAGACTTTTAGAAATTTTAACATGTTAATATGGTACAAAAAGATGTAGTACAGATCTTTAAAATTTGTTAGAAAGATTGAAGCTTATGTAAGGTTTTCAGCTTTTTTAGCTTAAAACGTACAATTCTTAGTTTATGCTTTTTCGTGATATGAAAGTCGTTTTCCGGTAACAAAGTTTCCAGGAATAAGTGAGGATGGGATGTAATATAATTTGGCCGGAGACACAGAACACAAAGTCGATTGTAAAGCATGGACTTATAATAAACAGTCGAACTAGATCGTGAGGAGGTTAAAATCGTATCACGGAAATAAATTATTACATGCCAGTTCTGCATCCTCTTGGCATCCAATTTATTAATTACTCTGCAAGAGAATTTTTTTTCTGCCCTCTGAGTAACAGGCAAGAGGTCCAGGGGAGAAAAATAGCATTTTTTCACGTTGTCCCATGTACTTTAGCTAATTGTCTCACTCATGATCAGGCTGGCAAATTTGGGATAACTCCCGGGGGTTCTCCGCCAGGATTTGGGTAGGGGTGTTCCGCTGGGATTCTGAAAGGGGTACCCTGTTTATGACAAAAAAACTCAAATTCGTAGACCCTGTTTATGACAAAAGGTATAATTAATTGCACCGAGTTCCTGTTTCTATTATCATGCCAGCTCGCGTATCGCTTTTTGAAGACTATAGTAACCAGTTTCGGTCAATACGAAATTAGAAACCCTGAATATGACAAGAAACTCAGGAAAAAATTTGGAACTTGAGTGAAATTGCATACCCTGTTTATGACAAGAAGCTCAAGGTTTCAAAGGTTTGGGTCACTGGTTTGAGCCCTGCAGACATCACATGTAAATAGAGGTTTTGCACCATCAACGTGCTGGGGCGCATAATACAGCTTGGACTGCCAGTGGTTAGATGCAGAACAATAGAATCCCTTTGCTCTCAGGAATTGAATTATTTTTTTATGTAAAACGATCGTATTGTACCTGGCATCTAACATGGCTGCTGTGATGTAATGGTGCAAAGCCCCTGTTTGTTTGATGTGTTGTTCTCTCCTATGCTACAGGGGTTTTCTCTGGGTTGTCCAATTTCCTCCTTTAGTGATAATCAACATGTGATAAATGGCATGAGTTAGGAGTTGTGTGCATATAGAGCACCGAGTACGTGTAGCTGGTAGTGTGTGTGAGTGAAAAGTGTCTCCAATTAGTGTGAAAGCACTTGAATGGCTAGATACTTAAATAAAGATATGTTTATTTATTCATTTAGAAAAACATTCTAATGGGTGACATTTCAGAGTTGTCGTGACACCATAATATCAACTGAAGCTACTGCGTTAGAACAAAAAAAATAATGCTTAGTAACGATCAGAAATAATTGCAAAAAATATTCAATACTTGTTTGTATAACATTTTGCTCTTTCAGATATATCATAAGGATTAGAGAATGATGATGAGACCATTTCCAAAATCCATTTGTTAGATTGATTCTTTGAGTCATATATAATGAAAAGAAGCAAAACCAGAGAAATTGAAGGAAAGTATAAAGTTTACGAGTGCAACCTGTCTTCTCCTTCCATCCCAAGAGGCAATCATTACGGCATATCCCACTACAAGTTGAAGGGAGCACCATTGTCAATGAAAGCAACGTGAAAAATCTGTTCGATTACCAGAGAAATTCATAAATTTACGAGTATTGTTAAAAGCGTTTTTTTTGGGAGGGAAACCAGTGTAGTTTAAACAAGATGTCTAGAAAGGACGAAATAGATTGTCCAACTTCTGAAGTTGGTAGTAAATCTTCTTTCAATGATAACCCAGCATCAACCATGGGAAACCCATTAATTTTACCAAAACAGTCACAACAATATTTCATAAGACCCACAGTGCCGATGGCCACATTGTCTACTAACACCACAACAGTTCCATCGGGAAGTTATATACAATCTCCTATATCATCACCAACAAGAAGTCCTCCACCACCATACGGCGGATCCAGCAGCCCTTTGTCAGGTAATGACCATTTATATATCAGGATTTCATTATTTTATTCAAATTGTTGGTGCATTTTGATGATTTAATGAGGGAATCCATTATATTGTCATTAAGCCTGGAAACACTAATAACATTAATGATCAAATAATACAGTGGGACTACTGTAACCCCCACCTGGTTAGCTCAGTTGCTAAGAACAATGGTCTGTTGTGTGGGAGGTCGTAGCTCAAGCTTCAGCCAGACCAACACTCAAGGTCTTAAAATAACTGAGGAGAAGACCCTGTCTCCCAACCCTTCCTAACCTGCAGTAAAATGGGGGACATAAAAGAACCTGTTGAATTATTCGTTAAGACTAGGGAATTGTTTCCTGGTTCAACAGCCTATCCCAATCTGGAGGCATAACACTAATGTACTATGTCACTCATGATTTTAAGCAGCACTGCTGCTATTAGTGCCTTGATATGCAGCCAATAAAGTTCTCCACTGATCACAGATATAAAGACAATGTGATATGTGCTATATAAGAACTTCCTATTACTATTATTACTATTACTTAGACAGCAAGAACCAATCAAATTGTTTAATAAAAACAATACATTCCAACTTTGGGTAGTGTAGCCAATCAGAAAGCAGCAGAAAACAATAGCCTTTCAACATATCTTTTTATTCCCACGAGAAAATGACAATGGCTCTAGGTTTCTGATTGGCTCATCTGTTTTCATTCTACATTTTAATTGGTTCTCTAACTGGTCTAAGTGGCACTGGTTATAGTAGTTGCTCTGTAAAGTGATTTTTGACTTTCATTTACTGGTTTGATTTTCTGTTTAGATAATCCTATGCATGGAAAGGTCAAATTCCAAATCATGAGAAGAAAGACTAGAATGCTTCCTAATCCCAAGAAAGCACACTCCATTGAAATGAGAATTATTGAAACCAGAGAAACATTCACCGAAATCTATCTTTCTGGAGCAGAGTCCGAAAAACGTGAATTTTGCAGACACTTGATTGATGAAGATGCTCCAATCAATACCAAGTACAAGGAGCTTGATTTGGACTCTTTGTTGAAACAGAACTTGGTAAGGATAAAGAATAATTTTGAATCCTATTTGATCTTATAGCAGGTTGCACCATGTACATGTCCATGTTATATCATCATCATCATTCTTATTCTCATTATTACTATTAACAGGTTCAATCCAGAGTTACATACCTTGTCCAAGCTCTAGGCATCCAAGAAAAATACGCATCAAACTTGATCAAGGACGTTAGACCTCAGTTTTGGAGAACTGTTAAATTCACCAGCAGTTTATGGAAAACGTACCTGGAGAACATTAACGGTAGTGTAGAAATCCTAATGAAAATGGGATACACTAAGCGTCTCAAGGATGGACTCTCATTTCCTGACGATATAAACGAACCAGATATTGTACGCGTCAAAGAAATTGCCGCGGATTTGTATTTAGCGAAAATTGAAACAGATGACTTGATTCAAAACAGGCACCCTTATTACGTCATCGCGTCAAGCCAAAGGGAAGCATCCTCTGGGCCGTCAAAAGTAAGTCAAAATTGCAATAGATAGAAAAATATAAAATGCCTTTCTACTTTTAATGGCAATTCTCTATAGCAGGGTACTATAGATTCGTACAATTTGCCATCGTGACAAAAGCAGGCGTAGCTCAGTTGGTTAGTGCGCGGCTTTCAGAGCTAGAGGTCCACGGTTCGATTCTCAGCATCTCTTAAATAAGCCTGAAGCGAGATGACGTTTTACCCCCGTCTCTAGACCATAATCCTTTTCACATTGCTTTTGTTCTTTAATTATAACTTTTGTTCCTGTATTCTCTAAGGAATCAAAAATTTTAATATGAAAGACTTTTAAAAACTATTATGGTATAGAGTCGGGAGTAAAACGTCATCTCGCTTCAGGCTTATTCCGACCAGCGAGGTCGGAAATTAATTTTTCCGAATTTAATTCCAAGGGTCTCTCGCCCGGAATAACCTCGTTCCCAAGCACTATAACTTATCTATATTTCTATATCTTCATGTATTTCATTAGTGCCATGCGGTCCACATATTCTCATCGTTTTATATAAAGGACTCTTAAAGGGGCACTTGGATGAAAATGGATAAAAATTGGAAATGACTTTAAACTTAATTAAACGTATTTATGTGGCCCCAATCGTAGCCAAGCAACATATGTTCTTCACAGTAAAATGTCTCAGATAAAAGTTATCAATTTTATTCAGCATCTAAATTGTTAAGTAAATGACGTCATTAACTCAACCCTATTGTTCTTTTCTCTTTTAACCCAAAATTTCTCAACTGCAAGTGGCTCCCAGGCGAAAATGTTCACTAATCTGGTTTACATAGTTATAATTGAATCAAATTGTCCACAAATACTTCAATTATTCGGACTTTCAAAAATTGGGGCGTTTTCATCCAAGTGCCCCTTAAAAACTCCAGTGTATGCGCGCTTAGCCTTGAATCCAGGAGTTGCTTGTTTTGTTATTCTAAGTTCTGCTATTGTTTACGATCTCAGAAGTGAGGCTAAGCCCGCTACACTTGAGTTTTATGAGTCGTCATCGAGCATTGATTGTTTCATAGGGTAAAGTGTGCACCTTAGAATGCTTGAAAACAAGCTCATGTCTCGGGAGAATTGGGCAACTACTCCTTGCTGCTGCAGTTTCAAAGCAAGATAAATTATCTTTAGAATAGGTTTTGGTTGGCGTCGGCCATAATATTTTCAAGTCATAAAAATTCCTTAAACACCTTGTAAAAAAGTTTGTAGCAGTACTGAAATTTCGGACGTAAGTCCTTCAAAGTAAAATTTTTTTACACGAAGCATAATGCTGTTTTAATATTTTAGGAAAAGATACGTGCTCCAACTGGAAAAGAAATCTCCACGAGTGAAGACAGTGATTCTGAATACGAAGATGCTAAAGATGGATTATCGAATGAAGATGATACCATCTCTGCACAACAAGTACCTGTCGCTACCTTGAAGCAGGCTATCTCTTCTCCTCCACAAGAATGTTTTGTTTGTGGAGAGAAAACAGTAGCTTGGTTTTGCAAAGATTGCAAAGAGCACTTCTGTCAGGACTGCGACGTGAAATTTCACAGTCGTCATGACAGAAAAAACCATGACCGTCAAAGATTCGGAGGCGAAACCCCCGTGACTACGTATACCAGTACATCGAAAAGTTCTGGAGACGAGATTGTCTCGCCAACAATGAGAAAGCACGAAAATATCGTTTCCCAAAGGCCATCACCCACAAGACTGGAGGACGATGGTATTAAGTATGTAGTCATTGGGCTTTCTGTTTTTATTTAGCAATAGAGCTTAAGTGTGACGTTACTCGTATAGAAAAACGACTCCCGGGTCCAGAATGAAAAAAAGATTTTTCTTACTTTTTCTACGTACAAGATTTATTGTACAAAGTATTAGTCTTTTCTGGTCTCGAAGGCACCTCGGTAATCTCACTCAGTAACGATTGTAAACAGCGTGGCACCAATTTTCATAAACATGCGCTAAATATTTGGTTTTTCGCTGCCGTCAATCAAACCTAATGAGTCGGCACCTTTCATATTTTTAACAGGCAGTGAATTTTTAACGAGAAAACACTCAGTCCCCCACAATTCTAAATCGGTCTCAGATTTCTGATTTCGGATATCTAACCGACAACGTTTTTTGAAATAGGTGTATACATATGTGGGTTCTCGATCATATCCAACAAGTTAATTTACTAACATATGTTTTGTTGAACACAAAATAAGAACAAAAAAGCCTGTTCCAAAGCCACGGAAAAGAATTCCAAGCAAGACCACAAGAGTGTCTAGTCCAGGAAGTATGACTACCAGTGTGTCTAGTCCAGACAGCATGACTACCAGTTTGTATAGTCCAGGAAGAATGCCAATTACGAAACGTTCTGACATGGCTAACAGCCCTAGCGTAGAGAAGCTACCTCCGCCTATCCCTAGCAGAACGATTCAAAGTCCAACAAACTTCAACAAGAATGTGACAAAATCTGGTTCTGTAATTAAAGAAAAAGGTAAAGATCGTCGTTTTTGAGTTTTAGATGCTCTCACGATAGCAGTTTAAAATCAAGATTTTTAACGTGCGATTTGAAAAGTCGTGATTTAAAACGGCTCTTGTGATATTTTTTTCAAACCGCACGAGAACCTATTTGATTTTCTCTTAATGATATGACCATCAAAACCTTTCGATCAAATTGCTTTGTGTTTTTGTTTTTTGTTTTGTTTTTCGTTTTTTGTTTTTGTTTTGTTTTGTTTTGTTTTTGTTTTTATTTTTGTTTTTGTTTTGTTTTTGTTTTGTTTTTGTTTTNGTTCCCATGACAATCATGACGTCATCGTATTCGAAAAGTTCCGGATACGAAGTGTTCCGTACTAATACGGCTAGCCGGCGTTTTCAAATTGTCCCACTTTGAAGACCGTATTCGAAAAGTTCCGTTTTCGGTGAAGAATTGTTCTGGATTCGCCCGGACTAGTGTGGACGGTAGGCCTAACCGAATAAATAAAGTTGCGAATTAAAATTTATCCGGCATAGTGTGGACGGGGCCTCAGTACACTATGTGTATTTTGTCCAGGCTTTCAAGCTGAACAACCTAAAAGAGGCTCAACGTCTATGGGATCAGGTCATGGCTGGTCACGCACGTGAACTACAGTACTGGCTGGAATATGCCAACCTTACAAGGTTACAATATAAAATAATTTGTGTTTTTTTTTTTTTTTGTTTGTTTTTTTTTGTTTTATTTTGTTTTGTTTTTATTTTATTTTTTTTGTTTTTGTTTGCTTTGTTTTTCGTTTTTTGTTTTTGTTTTGTTTTTGTTTTTATGTTTTTGTTTTGTTTTTGTTTTGATTTTGGACAGTGACGTGATTTTTTGCTTAGTGATTTAAAAAGAATTAAACCAATCACAATCGAGAATTTTTGATGGTTATAATATTACAGCTGATAAAGAATAAGAACAGTATTAAATACAGTAGATAATCATATTTATGATTACTTTGAACACAGTGCCTCAACAGCCGAGTATACACACCATTGAGCGTGAGATTCTACGGCCACCAAACGTTGCAGAGTACGAACCGATGAAAGAACCGCTGAAAGTACTCTTACAGTCCCAGCAGCAAGAAGAACCTATTTACGAATCACTGAAAAACCCAGAAAACCACATCTATGAAACACTAGATCATCAAAGTAAGTACAGTGTCTTTCAAGTATTACTAAATATGTTACTTAAAACAGTTTCACAATAAATTACCAAATGCCAAACTCGACACAGCTTTCCCTCGTCCTCGGAAGGGCTAATGTTTTCAAACAACTGTCAGGGCAAGTCTAAATCACAGATTGAACCAAGAAACAACCTCTGGGCTGATCTAAGTCAGGGCATGGCAAACTCACAGATCGAACCCTGAAACAACCTCTGGGCTGATCTAAGTCAGGGCATGGCAAACTCACAGATCGAACCCTGAAACAACCTCTGGGCTGATCTAAATCAGGGCATGGCAAACTCACAGATCAAATTGCACGAGTAGGGAGTAGTTTTACTACAAGATAGCTTCAGCATACAACAGCAATGAGTGTTACAGCATTAACACTATCTTTAACATTATCTTGATTGTACGTCAATGTGTTCAACTTATTTTTGATACAGGCAAAGATCCTCCTCCTTTGCCTCCAAAGCCTCCTAAAAGAGAGACTACAACAGCTCCAGTTTACAAAGGCGCGACCACTTGTCCATATTGCTATTGTTTGAATACATCTGATACTGTAAGATGTAACGCGTGTGGAAGGAAATTGCTTGAACAATCCGCAATTCCTGCAAAATCGCCGCACAGACATGAAGAACAAGGAGTAATCCATGACCCATGGCAAAGCGTAAGCCATCCTATTGTTAAGCCACAAGGAACTGTTTCTCCTTTCTCGAAGACCGTGGAAAACCCTCTGTACTTCAACAGCACGCCACAAGCAGGGATTGCGAAAACGCCAAGCCCAGATTTGACCACCACAAGTTCTGAACCGAAATGGGCATGTGAATTTTGTACTTTTTTGAATCCAATGGATAAAACGATATGTGACATGTGTGCAAAGACGAAGTCGGAAGGGGCCAGGGTAGTAGAGCCTAGTCCAGCACCATCGAAGAGTCCCATCACACCTGAACCAATGTCAATACTGTCTCCGTCATTAGCAGTCAAGGTTAGAATGGAAATATTTCCCGGGGGGGAAGGGGGGGGGGGTACTACCACCCCAGCTTGGGTAGGGGCGTGCCGCCAGGACCTCAAAACCCTGACCCTATCCCAGACCTAAAATATTGATCTTACATACCCTACCCCAGACTAAAACTAAGAATTATACACCCTACCCCAGACCCAAAAGCCGAAAAACCATACCCTATAGGGCGGCACATACCCGTATAGCAAATATAGGGGGGGGCCCCCCCCCCCCCCTCCTCCGGGAAATATTTCCCCCGTTATTTGCTTATAGTTAATAAATTTTACCCTCATTCTCGATAATATTGGACCTCTTTACGTTGGGCGTGATGTTTTACCATTTCAGACCACGTGTCATTCTGAAAATAATTATTACCCAACAGTTTCCTTTTCGGGTCGTCGCGCAATCGCCAATCAAAAATCGCCATTCGCGCCTTCAACCTTTCTTGGAATAACTGTACTCGATTTTAAAAGTTTCTCAAACGTTGATTAAAAACGTTTTTCCACTGATTTCAGCTCCAAGAAGACGAGTTGAAATTGACTAGCGAGGCTTTGCGCACTGCAAGTCAGTCTAAAGTAGTCCAGTCCTTGCAAAAAAAAGAAGAAGAGCTGCTACAAACCAAAGTTAATGACCATAAACAACTGTACAACATACAACAGGGTATGCTTGGTATTGTTTCTCCTACTTTAAGTTATCCCTCGGTGTTTTCATCATCCAGCGAAGGGCAAAGCCCCGAGTTGCTTAAAACATCAAAGGAGATGTACGTATTTAGACGGGAGACAAGTTACAAAGAGATCAGAGAAGCTCGAGAATCTGGACAAGAGTTTGTCAGAAGGATGAAGGTACGTTTGAAGTTCTCTTTGTAAGAACTGTGTTAAATGGGTATATAGACGCGTTCTTGTCCTCGCCTCTGGAGTCTCGGGTTAGGTTCAAGGTTGTGCTCTCAAAATTTCAGGCAAATTGAAATTCAAGGTTGTGTTCTCAAAATTGAGCTTTTTATTTTCACGGCAAGCGATGCACTCCACCAATTACTACTAATAGTCTTCCATTATCTATTTTTTCATGTCCAGGAAGCAGAATCAAAGGGATTTTCTGCTGAAGAATTAAACATTGCGTACACCCTTTCAGTGGACGATCCTCAAGGTCCAGTTCACTGGTTACAGACCAAATGGCTGGATCTTATCCACAAAGTCATGATCAAATTCACAGATCATTCGAAAAAAGAGGATATTGGGAACTTAAGCCCCGAGGAAGCTAGACAGGCCTTGATAGAACGAACCGGGGATGTTGAGAGGGCTGTTGAATTGAGTATCGAGGAGCGTAAGAAAGGGGTCAGTATCGCCAGTAACTGTAATATCAATGACTGTAATATCTATTATAACCGGACCCGAAAAAATAGAGGAAATGATCGAGTTGAGGTTATTAAAAGATATCGTAAATCATGGAAGCTCGCCATTAACTTAGGAAAAAACCCCGGAAATTCCTGTCAAGGGAAAACCAAGTTCTATTTATCGATCGGGAAGTTCCGGAAAACTCGCTCTTCCGACTGAGGTAATTCACTTTTCCCGCTCTTTTCGGTTCTTTCGGTAAACGCGTGTACCATTTTTGAAAGTCAAAGTTTCCCGCTCTTTTTTTACCATTAGCGAATCAAATTTTCTGTTGCTATGTCATAATTAAGATTGGATGGCGTGCATAAAAATGTTGAAAAGCTATTTCAGGGTGCAGGGCATACCATGTACGATAATATAATGGTTTTATCACAACTGTGCTTATCTCAAAATTCAGATTGAGTGTTGCACATGAAACAACGGGTAACGATCCTAATGTTGTAACGCCATCGCGTAAACGTCTGTGGGCTGTTAGTTCATATATACCCCTTGACAGTTCCCTGCGCCATCTTGAAAGGTAGCTGTGCCTTTGCATCGAAGCGAGACGAACGGTGAGTTTGTAATGATAGGGACGTGAATAAAACCGCCATCCGGTTAGCTCAGTTGGTAAGAGCGTCGGTCTGTTGTGCTGGAGGTCGTGGTTCAAGCCTCGGCCGGACCAACACTCAGGGTCTTAAAATAACTGAGGAGAAGGTGCTTTATATCTGCAAATGGTTATAGCTTCACAATGTAAACCTGTATAAGGCGGACGTTAAAGATCCACTAAGACGCTGGTGACGACAACTTCAGTGCCCGTGCTAACCGGCTGCCAGCCGTCCACCTACATTAAACTAATTAACTAACTAGGTGAAAGTCAAATTGAAATACGCACTTGAGCATGCACCTACGTTTTTCACTCGTGACAGCTTCATATGTGCTGTTTTCTACACAGTTACAAGAAGTCATGAACTCAGGCTTCTACCCCAGGATAGAGTGTGTCTCTGCTCTGGATTCAAACGATGGGGACGTCAGCAAAAGCATACAAGACCTACAGGTCATGTCCTTTCAACCCATGCTTCAAAGAATATGGGATACGTGCTTGGCGGATGATGCTGATGGTAACGAGGAATGGTATCTGCGCCGAAATCCTGACAGACAGTTGAGTACTTCACATGATGATGAGCTGTTTGAAGCTATGGTGTCTAACAAAGAACTAGACAGAGATGTAAGTCAGTTTTCTTGTTTTGTGAATTTTAAGAAATGCGGGATACCTGTGTTGACAAGTGAGATGGAATGAGGCGAGCAGAAACAAGGCAATAGACTAGACTCTTCCACAGTCTCTCGCTCGTCCGTTCCGTCTCCACGCTTAGAGACTGTAACGGTACAATGACCGACAGGACTTATGGGTCCCGAAAACTTGGACCCAGCGTGCTTTGGGAACCAAAATACTCGTCCACAGTCTCTCTCGTTTCAATATTTTCAAGATGGCGGCGAAAACGAGAGAGACTGTGGACGAGTATTTGGAAAACGAGAGAGACTGTGGACGACTATTTTGGTTCCCAAAGCACGCGTCGTATTGAAAACAAAGAGACAGGACGTGTAACGAGAATACAGTACATGATTGTTGTTTTTATTAATCCGTTTTAGTTAATGAAATACAAGCGAGGGTTGAAAGTGACAGCATATTATACTTGACCTTGTTGAAAACATTTTACTGATAACTAACAGAGGTCAACAGACATGAATAACTACTAAGTAAAGTATACTAGTTGTTACTGACTGCAAAATGAGTGGCTTTTCATAAGAAATATCAAAGTTTCTTAAAGTAACCGCTTCACTAATTGCTGAGGTAAAAAAACACACGAAATCAAATTGTCAAACTAATATGGGTATCTACCTGGCTATGCCTCGACCAATATATATGTCTCTAAAATCTTTCTTTATGTATAATCAGGGCAGCAATATTATAAATATCGTTTTATTTACTTTCTTTCACTGGTGATATCTAATATGTAAAACCTCTGATTTTTAAGGGGTACTTAAATGAAAACGCCCCGTTTTTTGAAAGTCCGAATATTTCAAATATTTGAAGATAATATGATTCAATTACTATTATGAAAGCCAGATTGACATAAATATTTGCTTCGGAACCACTTGAAGTTGAGAAACTTTGGTTTAAAAACTAAAAGGATAATAGGGTTGAGNCCCCACCGAAAAAAAATCTTCACATTTTATGGAACTCTAATGCAATCTCTGGGCTGACCAAACTCAGGGCACGGCTATCTCATAGATTGGATTGTTAGGTTTTTTTACGTATAAAAAGGAGGAAAACCCTCAATTCAAGAGAGGGATAGATCTATCGACTCTACTCACATGATAGAGCCAATAGGTGAGAGGCGAGTTCACTACGGATATACGCCGAATCAAAATATGGGGACCAATTAAAATAACCATTGTTCTTTACTGACTAGTGACTTCCTAGCTTCTCCTCATTCACGAGGCTAGTCAGTCGCTAGTCAGTGCAAAACAATAGTTATTTAAATTGCAAGCCTTGATAGTGACCACAGTGAATCCGTGAAACTTTAGTAATACTAAATAGCACAATTTCATCCAAATTCCATTGTTTTCTATTGTTTAACTAGCACTATTTTGTACTATTTAGTAATTAGTGTTTCACGGATTTACTGTGGTCACTCTAGTATTCCTTTGACTCATCATTACTAGAGACTGAATCCGCATATTGAAGCTATCCTATTTTTGTTTCCTTGACAGCGGCGCATCAGAGTCATCTATGCCGAAAAAAAAATGATCTCATGGGGTCGTGCTGAGACTGCAATCCGATTAATAGACGCGAATTTCCCTGTATTGGATTCTGTAGAGGCAGCTCAAGCAGTTGGAGATTTCGATAGAGCGAAGCAGTTTCTCCAACGTGAATGCATCGTGTGTGCAGATTTTAAATCTGAAAGTCAAGTAAGATAATATGAGTAGAAAATATTCTTCAAGATATTGACGGTTGCGTGGAAAACTGGTAACGAGCAAAACGCGCGCTGAATCATGGGACTATTTTAGGGACGCCATTTTTTTCAACATGGCAGAAAGCTTAGCAAACTTTCTTGAAAATCAGACCAAAAAATAAGTTACACGAGACTCGATTCAAAAACTAAAACCGTGCATGTAAAACAAAAAAGACAAATGGTGTTTCGGCGTGAGCTTTACTTGTTACAAGTTCTTCGCACTGACCTCGAAAAAGCCAATCAGTAGATGAGGTGGAAATGGTGTCTGATTGCACAGACAACCCAAACATGACTTTGAGAAGGCTGTGTGGTCTTTATAGGAAAAAGCAAAGAAAAATAAATGCTTTGTTACAGTAATTACGTCGATTGGTATTAACAGTTCATCACAAAAGGATACTATAAAAGATGAATTAGGACGGCACATCGATCACCTTTACCCATAAAAAAAAAAGAAAAACACAGTAAACTCTATATATTGTCCGTCATTTTTTTTTTTTTTTTTGACCCCCTGGCAAGATGGCCGCCGTATCATATAAGTATTCCATTGGGAAAACATTACTACTAGACGGGTTTGTTGGATTACGAACACTCTTGTTATTATTTTTACAGATGGTGACGATGTTGAATTGTCAGTGTCGTTTCTGTCGTGATTGTGTTAAACAATACGTAACAACCGTGATTCAGGAACAAAACATTATGAAGTTGGTTTGCCCTGATTGTGGCGAGCCTAATAATCTGGACAACGATATAGTGGCTACTGAATACTTCAATAACTTGGACATCATGGTAAGCATTGGTTATATGGCCTTGGGTTATGTGGTATATGGTGTGGTGTGGTGTGGTATGGTATGGTGTGATAATAATGTAGTGGCTACTGAATACTTCAATAACTTGGACATCATGGTAAGCAATAGTTATAGCCTTAGGTTATGTGGTATGTGGTGTAGTGTGGTGTGGTGTAGTATAGTGTGGTGTGGTATGGTGTGATGGGATGGGGTGTTGTGTGGTGTGGTGTGGTGTGGTGTGGTGTGGTGTGGTGTGATAATAATGTAGTGGCTACTGAATACTTCAATAACTTGGACATCATGGTAAGTATTGGTTTTAGCCTTGCGTTATGTGGTCTGGGCTGGTGTGGTGTGGTGTGGCGTGGTGTGGTGTGGTGTGGTGTGGGCTGGTGTGGTGTGGTGTGGTGTACTGTGGCGTGGCGTGGTGTACTGTGGTGTGGTATGGTGTACTGTGGTGTGGTGTACTGTTATGTGGTGTGGTGTACTGTGGTGTGGTGTGGTGTGGTATGGTATGGTGTGATAATAATGTAGTGGCTACTAAATACTTAATGTGTTATGGTTTGGTCTAGCGTAAGTGAAGTGTGTATTTAGCGTAACGTAGTATATCACAGTTCAGTGTAATGTGATGTCATATTTCTGTCATAGATTCGTCGTATCGTCGATGAACCGACTCATGATTTGTTTCAACGAAAACTAAGAGACCGAACTCTTATGAAAGAGCCTAACTTCAGATGGTGTTCACACGTAAGTAATGATGAGTGTAGACTACAATAGGGAACACAGTCGTAGAACCTTTTGAATGTTGTTTGAAGATGATTTCATGCAGTGGCGTAGCGAGGTCTTGCTTATAGCAGGGGATGGGGGATGGGGGGG